TGTTGTGGCTGGCTGGCTCGGGAGCTGGGGTTTCAGTCTGGGAAGACTCTTGCTAGAGGTTGTAGCTAATAAACATAGCTGAACTGATTTTGCATTGTCTCTTGGAATTCCTTGGGCTAGGCCTGACAAGCTTCTCTGTAAAGTGCTTAGGATCAGTGGGAGTTAGGTGGTTTTTTTTTTTTTAATCTACATAAATAAATACGTTTTGCAAGGAAGGCTTGAGGGTTGTCATCACCCTGTTGGTTCCCGGCATTTGGGGACCAGGGAGTAATTTATTCAGCCCTCTGGATGCTCCGATTCTAGGGGCAGTTTTGCTCCCTGCAATCGTGCATGGTTCACCCAAGCTCCTCCCTTCAGTGTCCATCTCTGCCTCCGTCCCCCATCCACAGACACTGTCAAAGAGGAGGAAGAGCAGACAGGCAGGCTGCCTTGAGGTGGGGGCAGAGGGAGGTGCTGCCCACCCTGGAGGCACATACCTGTTGGGAGATTTTTGCAACCTAGAATAGAGCCGCTGCTTCGGACGATCTCCGGAATCTGCTGCAATACCTTTGGGGAGGGGGAGAAAAACCAGAGAGTTGCGTTGCTTCCCTGGCCTTGCAGAGGTCCCTTTCTGGGGAGAATAAGGCATACCCCCCACCCAATTATTCCACTATTTCTGAGCTGGTGGTACATAGAAATCCATTCTCTTAAAAAGCAGGTTCATGATCAGTGGCACCCCAACACTGTTATGTGAACATGGAAAAGTATCTCTGACTTTCAGGGCCTGGAAAAGAATAGCCCAATTCCAGTGATTTGATGGTCAGATGAGAATGACCTACAACTTTTACCCTGGGGTGCATCCAGGAACCAAACCCGTGTGTGTGTGTGTGTGTGTGTGTGTACAGATAGTCCTTGACTTACGACCACAATTGGGACCAGAACTTCTGTCATTAAGCAATGCAGTTGTCCAGTGAGTCATGCCCAATTTTACAACCTTTTTTGCCAAGTCATTAAGTGAATCATGTGGGTATTTAAGTGAATCCGGCTTCCCCCATTGACTTTGCTTGTTGGAAGCCCCCTGGGAAGGTCGCAAATGGTGATCACGTGACCCTGGTTGCCGAGCACCTGAATTTTGATCACGTGACTGTGGGGATGCTATGAAAATCATAAGTGTGAGGACCTGTCGTAAGTCACTTTTGTCAGCACTGTCATAACTTTGAACGGTTGTTGAATGAATGGTTATAAGTCAAGGAGTACTTGTATATGAGTTTGATTCCTGTATTCTTCTTTCTTGTTGATAAAGCATCTTATTTAAGCTGTGTTGAATCTGTGAAGCTTTGGCTGTTACTGAAGATGGGGTATCTGGAGAATTAGTATTTATTACTGTGCCTGATCAAATGTGATATGCTGGTGGAAGATGGGAGAATTTCCCTAATTCTGAAGGAGGCACTGGAGAACTTATTCCTATCCAAGGGTCAACTGGCTCTGTGTGCAATGTGGAGATGGGACAGGAAATATTTTTCTACCTTAGTTCAGAATCTGAGCTTTGCTTTGAAAAGGAGGCTTAAAACCAGAGTACCCAAGACACAGTGATTAAAGAAATATTTTGGACAAATTTGGGATGAAGCCAATCCCCTAAGACGGACCTGTGTTGGATCATGTTCGTAGATAAATGTGATACAACGGTACACCGTTTTGTATTCTTCAAGGTCCTCCCTCAGAGGAAGGGCGTGAAGCAGGACAGGGAAAACCTGTTGAAAAAAAGCCAGGTGACAGTTAAAAATTCAAGAGTCAGAGATTCAAGATTCTGCAGAGTTCCTAACATGGTTTTAGCCACCCTCTGGGGCTCCCTACTAGGGTCTCTAAGTGAAAAGCCTACCTTCCCTGCTCCTCTGAGCGGCAAGAGGAGCAAAAAACTCACAGCCTTGTTCTCCAGCAAGTCGCAAGACTCCAAGCTGAATATTTAGCTGGCTGTTGACCCTGAAGATAATTCCTCAACCATGGAACCAAGTTTATGGCCTGCAGAAGGATCTCAATCATCTTCAAGACTGTCAGCCCCTTCTTTTCCAACGGTGTGCACCCAACACAGCTTGCGTGGAAATTCTGTTGTATACAGAGTGTGCCTTCTGGATGCTTAAGGTCTGTCCCCCCCCCCCTCACCACCCCTTTTTTTTTTTTTTTT